GATAGTATTTCCCTTGGGTATCTGGATATCATCCTTTGATAGTATTTCCCGTGGATATCTGGATATCATGTTTTGACTGTATTTCCCTTGGGTATCTGGATATCATCCTTGGATAGTATTTCCCTTGGGTATCTAGACATCATCCTTGAATAGTATTTCCCTTGGGTATCTGGATATCATGTTTTGACTGTATTTCCCTTGGATATCTGGATATCATCCTTGGATAGTATTTCCCTTGAGTATCTAGACATCATCCTTGAATAGTATTTCCCTTGGGTATCTGGATATTATCCTTAGACAGTATTTCCTGTGGTTATCTAGACATCATCCTTTGATAGTATTTCCCTTGGGTATCTGCATATCATCCTTGGATAGTATTTCCCTTGGATATCTGGATATCATCCTTTGATAGTATTTCCCTTGGGTATCTGGATATCATCCTTGCATAACTGGATATCATCCTTTGATAGTATTTCCCTTGGGTATCTGCATATCATCCTTTGATAACTGGATATCATCCTTGGATAGTATTTCCCTTGGATATCTGCATATCATCCTTGAATAGTATTTCCCTTGGATGTCTGAATATCATCCTTTGATAGTATTTCCCTTGGATATCTGGATGTCATCCTTGGATAGTATTTCCCGTGGATATCTGGATGTCATCCTTGGATAGTATTTCCTGTGGATATCTGGATATCATCCTTTGGCACTATGTACACTGTGTTCACATATTAGAGCCTGAAAATGTATGTTCGTTTAATGTCCAGATCCAGATCAGTGTTATAAAAATAAACTCCGAAAAATTATATTAGAGTACTTTTTAGTGAGTGATGTTTACAGGACATACAGGAGGCTTTTGAGTTCTCTGTACTACCTGGTCACTATGTCATTTTTTCCCCATTTTCATAGGTTTTCAGGCATCAGCCCCTTTTATATCTAAGGGATGATCATAAAGATGACAGTGTACATACCATATACATACGGTGCTACATTGAAGGTGCCAAATTTATTTTGAAGAGAGGGAAGAACATAGTCTTCAAAAGGCAGAAATGAAGAGTATTTAACTGTCAGCATTGAGAATGAGGTCAAATCTTATCATAGTTCTTAAATTTAGCATTATTTACACAGGAAGTCAAAAGGGGAAGATGATCAGTGGGAAGTGGTCTTCTGCAGCATGGGAGAGGGAATTTAAATCTGTTCAAAGGCAGGATTTGGAATTCAGAAATTTGCTGCACCCAATTTGCTATTTTTTAGGATACTGTAAGCTAATGTGGTCATGTCAGAATTTTAAGCCTGCTAGAATTTGTTTCATAGTTTTATAAACGTCCACATTTATAAACTTTGGATTTGTGAGAGGCTAACGTCTGCTGTTGGGCTTTGTTCTCCCTGTTTTTCCCTCCTTAGACTCCTCTCTAAAACCAAGGAAGGCATCATTCCATGTGAAAATATCATTTCTTGAAAGTGGGCGGGGGAAGGCCCTGAAAACTCAGCTTTCGATGTTTTCATAGCCAACAATTCTGGCACAAACTACCCCAATGACAGAAGAAAAACCTCTCATGCCCTGTCATCCTTCTTTGATCTTTCCTTCTTTGGCAGTGTCTTATTCAGATCAATTCCTTGGAGGTTTTGTGCTTCTCTAATTGCCATTAAAGAGGGCTGTGAATCCTCTTCCTTCCTCTTAATTTCTAACTATTCTCTTTGAGCAAAGTTATTCAGTAAAAATTAAAGGGGATGAGAGAATCAAAGGCTGTGTGTTTTCAGAACGATGCTCTCATTTTTGTGGGGTCCTTAACATTTTGGAATAGTGCAGGGCGGCAGGTAGGCAACTGTAATGTTTCAGCATTTAAGCAGCCTTCTCACACCCTCAACAGAACCACTTATGGGCATTTTGTAGCTTAGAAGGCCACTAAAGGCAAGGCCATGTGATCTAATGAATACCAGTCTGCTATGTACAGCATGAAGAAACCCATACTGCCCTTGGAGTCTCCTGCCTTCCTCATTCCCCCATTTATTAAATTCATGAGAACTCACAGGAAGCATTCAGGTGTAATTTGTCTTGCTAGATTTCATACCTAGGACTGTAAGTATACACACTCGTGCATACTTAATGAAAATTATCAGTGGGTTTCCAGCTCAAAGTCAGCACATGCTGCTTAGAAGATAAATCACAGTGTGGGGATTTAGCGTGCGCCCACCACTGTTTTAAGTGCTTCAGCAATATTAGCTCATTTAGTCCTTCCAACAGCCCTACGTGTGTGGGTTTATTTTTATCTCCACTTTACAGATAAGGACTCCAAGGCACAGAGGAGGTGAGTAAATTGCCAAAGGCCATGGGCAGAATTGGGATTTGAACCATGCAGTCTGATTCCAGAATTCAGGCTATCAACAACTACATCAATGTCATACCAGATAATAACTTGAAAGAAAGGCCAAGCATTTCTTCCCTAAAGTCTTTTAGCTTCACTCTTATATAAGATCAAATTACAAAAAAAAAAAAACAAAAAAAAACCCAACGTGCGGTAGTGATTTTATTGTTGTGGTCCTGTTAATTATGTAAGAAATAAAAGAGGAGTAAAAATTTTGTCTTTACATCCTACTAAACCGATTTCAGCCCATGCTCTGGTTTTCCTAGTATGTTAGACTTGTGTCTAATTTCTCTGGACCTCACTTGCTCAGTCTATGAAATGGGGGTATGATTGTTGTTGATACGAACTTTATAATACATTTCAAGTGCTTAGCACAGTATTTGACACATACATGTCAGCAGCTATTGTTTTAAAACTGCCTCAATCCTTTGTGCAAATGAAATGGTAGCAGACAATGAATCGACTGGGTCTGAGGTCTGTTAAGGCAATATTGTTTAATAGAGAATAATTAGACACATGTGTTTTAGCCAAGTCAGTGGTCTGTTCTACCAACTGACCAGCTTTCCTGCAATGCTGTTCTTGGATGTTTGACACAGGGCATTGTTGTGAGGGACGTAGTGTCGTAGCACAGTGTGTCTGATATTTGTTAGGCTTCAGGGAGGGTCTGCATTGTCCCCAATTCTGGATTACAGCAGTGTTTCACATCTGCTCTTGCAGCTCCTGGTCCTGCTTCAAAAGGCATAATAGTCATGGAGCTGGGATTTACCAGTCTCTTTGCGTTAATTAGAAATGGAAAATCAGTATAGTCATAGGGAGGGAACTACAGAGGAAAAAATAAGTGAGACGACAATTCTGTGAGGATGTGGGGATTATTCTGGGTAGGAGTTATCTGGTCAACTGCTGCCACTGAGATCGGATTGCCTGGGGTGGGGGAGGACGTGGGAGTCCCAGTGGGGGTTGTGATGGGAACTCCCTCCTTCTCACTTCCCTTCTCCAAGTGAAATTATCCAATTTCTCCCTTCCAATTGAAAAGCTCTCCTTTATTCTCTTTCACCACAGGAGCCTAAAGGCTATATTCTCCAAGGCAGCAACTCTTTCTTAAAGCTTCCTTAGAAAATGATGGGGTGGGAGTCTCCGCTGGAGGAAACTCCATCTTTTACAGATAGTAGCCCACGTGGCACCTTAAGGGTTAAACTTTTGTTGCAGAGAAAGGGTATCAAGTAGCTTCCCAGGAGGGGATAGCCCCCAGTTTACAAACTGCCATTTCTAAAAAGGTAAGCCAAGCGTACATTAGTTGACACTGCTTTCTATGAAAGGAAGAACTCAGCATGTGTGAGTTTGCCTCTTTCTGAGCCTGTCATCTATTGAACGCATGTATCAGGGTGAGGACGGTCGATCACAGTTAATAAAAACCCCAGAACACGACAGAGATCCCTTTTACTGTCTATCTATTTTATGATAGCTCTCAATTTATGATGTCACATAAATCAGAAGGGAAGGATTTATCTTATCATTCAGAGGCATCCCTTCTCCCTCTGTGTCCTGGCCCCTCCCCCCGTGCCAGTTTCCAGTCCCTCAAAGATGCTTTGTGCAAGAAAGTGCAAGTTGCCCGTTCTGGCTTTATTTTTGTTCCCTTTTGCTCTCCTCCTGGCTCCCCCCCAAACCAAGCTAGCAAAGCAAATGGCCCGGGTTCCCCCCCAACGCCTGACCTGCGATTACTGGGAGGAGAGCGGGAGAGGGAGCGCGCATTCCGGAGCAGGCTGCTCTGACTCCGACCACAGGCTGTTTTGTGCAGGCTGTCCCTCTCCTTCAAAACCGTGCATCCCCTCCCCGAAGCAGCAGGCAGTGTGCCTCCATTCAGCCACATTTGGTATGCATGAGCACGGCTGCAGGGAGAGGGGAGGTGGCTTTCTTAAGAAGGTTCAGGGGCTCAGGCAATGCCACTTGACTAGTCTCCCAAGTTCCAGGAAGCCTCTGCCCTAATGGAATTTGCAGGTGTGGAGATGACCATGGGATGCCAGAGCCGTGGGGGATCGTTTATTTTCTAGGCATTGCTCAGGTCTGCAGTTTCTTGTTTTCCCGGTGGAATTTGGAAGGGGTCATGAATCAAACTGATGCTCCTCGACCCCTCAACTGGACCATCCGGAAGCTGTGCCACGCAGCCTTTCTGCCATCTGTCAGACTTCTCAAGGTACTGTAACTTGCTGCTTGGAATGGCTCTCATTATGCTTTTCAGGTCTAAATACCCAACTTGGGCACTTGGGCTGGGACACACCTTTGGGGGAGCACAAATGTGTGGAGTGCTGGCTCTGTGGCCAGTGGCTGGAGAGAGGTTCTCAACACTCCTCACCCCACCCCAGCCCCCACCCTACCCCATGGTGTCAGGGAGAAGAGGCTGGTATGAGCCACACTTGAGAATGAGGTTTTGTTCTCAGAGAATGGTCTCAGAGCCTAAGTGCTACCCTCACCCCTCTTAACCATCCCTAAGGCAGAATTAACTTCTTTAGGAGGGTGGGAACAGGAGTTGTAGTGAAATCTCTTACTCCCTGGTGTTTGATTCCTGCTTTTTCTTTTCCCTCCCTGGGGAAGCCCTTCGACCCACTTTCCCTTTAAATGGAACCCGAGAGAACAAAGGATTCTCCTCATTATTTTAAAAGCTCTGTATAGTTAGGTGGTCACTCAGGTAAAGACAAAGAATGAACCTCACCAGATAGTGACTTTTTTGGTGTCCTTGTTTTTCAACAAGGCATGATAATTTTAGTCTCCCAGTAGTAGGAAAGTATCGGTAAAACACATATCTAATGTCAGCTCTCTTTCTGAGTCACACAAAAGAATGGGAAAGAATGGGACTACACCTGAGCTGAGATTGCCGCCCTGTGTCTGCAGCCAGCGCTCCACTTTGTAGATACTGAAAAAATCCACACAACTGTATCAGAATCTGCTTTCATCACCTGCCTTGTGGAGAAGGAAATACAAATAAAATGGGAAGGTTCAGAAAAAAAGTATTTTTGCCTAGAAAAGAGAATGTGGTCACGGTTAGGAACAGGGCATCTCTCTGGATGTTCTATAGCCATTGGACGTTAAAAAGGCAGGCAAAGTTCTTAATTCTCTTTTCCATATGATAGAAGCCACTCATTACCACTGGGCATTGAGTCTAGTGGGCTGCCATGGAGGACGAATGGATTCTTCCTGCATAAATTGCACTTGCAGAAATTTGTCTGAGCCTGTGTCCTGGGTAAGGGTGATGGACAGTTACTTCTATGCTGCTAAGTGGGTCCTCACAACAGCGTTCCCCATCCTCTGTGTTTTCCTGATCTTGTTAGACACAAAATGGTTTTACAGCTTCATAAAGGGTATCCCCAAGTGCTGTTCAAACCCCCATCGTATGGTTGTCATGGTGACGGCTTGCACCCCCCGAACCCCCCCTTAAGGGATATTGAGGAGAAAAGTCAGGTTTGGGAATAAAGAGTGGAGGAGAAGCTTTCTTGGAGGTGTGTTTTTGCTGTGTTAGAACAACATGTGTGATAGGGCAAGAAAATAAACGTGGCCAGAGAATTAGCAAATGAATATAAATTTTCCTCTGGAATTAACTAATAAATGGAGAGTCTAGGGCAAAGAATGTCTTGGTAAATCTAAGTGTGACTGAGAATACTGACTCCAGTAATTCCATGTGCTATGAGAAATTTTTTTTTTTAGTTAAAGTCATTCATTGGCTTTATCCCCAAATAAGGTTTTTTAACTCTTAACAAATATGTGACTACTATCACTTTGGATGTATTATTAATTAATATTCTAATGTTCTAGTTTTTTTGTGGATAATGTCACTCATTTACTAATGATAAAACCAGCAGAGAAGGACCTATCTGAGGTAGATTACTTATTTTAAGAAGAATTCTGTCATCTCTTTTTTAACCAAAAGTACTGTCTCTATTACATATTAGGAGATACTGTCAATACTACACTAATACTTTCATTGGCAGGCAGCTGAATCCTGCAATTCTTTATTAATGTGATGGCTATCACAGTTCATCTAATAAAGTGCATCAGGGAGTAGCCTTCCAATTTTTTCAATATCTGAAAAGCTTTTACGAGAGAACTTTTTTCCACATGACATCTTTCTCTTTGAAAGATCATAGCTACCCTGTGAGACTTCAGATGTTGACCACATTTCAAACTCTTAAAAAAAAAAAAAAATGTCCATGGGGCGGTGCCTGTGGCTCAAAAGGGTAGGGTGCCAGCCCCCTATGGCGGAGGTGGCGGGTTTAAGCCCAGCCCTGGCCAAAATAAAAAAAGTCTAAGTGAAAATTCCGTCAGCAATACTTAGAAAGAAGTGAAACTGCTTCTGTGAGTGGTTGTATTATACACTCTCTAGATATGAGTGCCATGCATTTTTTTTTTTAACCTCTAGATTGTGGCTTTCTTGTTTTTGCTAGTTCTTATATATTCTTGCCCTGCTTAAATGAAATTTCATAAGAAATAATTTGTCTCTTTTAGTAAATGCTCTTCCTGACTTAGTCTATAGATATTGAGTAATGGTTATGCTCTCGTTCCTTCCTCACCCTTTACTCCATTCCTTCCTCCCTCTCACTTTCCCTCTCCCTCTTTCTCTGTTACTGTGCCTCCCCCCTACCATCACCACCATGTCAATTTGGTGGATGGATTCTCCAGCATTCTGTAGTCTACTGAATTGTTGATTTATCAGATCCAGTTCTCCTATTCAACAGGTAATCTGTGGTCCTCTTCCAAGTATTGTTCCGATGTGACGTGCCCTTCTCTGGGCACTCTGACTTGTCAGTAAATACTGTGTAGGCATGATGGCTTGCTTAGATTCAGCTATACTCAGATCACTCACCATTTCTGACAGACTGAGCTCAAGTCAATTTCCCTTCTTAGACTTTTCCTTGAAAATGTGTGTTTCTTTGCTAACTGACTTTGGTACCATGTTAATCTTTAGACATAGCTTCATAACCTTATTTCCTGTTTACTAATAGAAGCAGGATACTAAAGAATTAGAAGGGGAAGGCGGGCATCTGAAGCATGAATTAAGCCCGTGGAGCACTGGAATACACTTATTATTCCTTCTGGAAACATTTCATTTGTTGTTTTGTCCATCTCAGAGCTGATTTTGAACATGCCAACCAACTCACATTTTGAATTTGGGGTTGCATTTGGAAATAACACTTGAAAATGAATTTTTGGACAGGCACATGATGATGAGAGCCAAAAGACAGGCCCTGTTTTCAAACGGATACATTTCAAATGGGACCCTTTCCAAACCCTTTCTCTTCTGTTGTCGTTTGCTTTATTCTTGTGTTTTAAGATTTCAGCTTACTATTAATCACAAAAAAAGAATCAAGTTGATTTCAGTGACAGAATGTTCTTAGCATATTTCATATTCATTATCAGGTCTATCTTTGCCTTTGTTTTATTTAGAAGATTTTATTTTGGTAACATGTTGAATTTGGAGATTATTTTTAGGGCAGAGAGCCTTCTTTGCATTGAAGCCTTGGCGAACTTGCTGAAAGGAAGGCTTCAGAAAAATGGGTTGCATTGGGGGAACAGGAAGCTCTGTATTTGTGACAGATTTGGGGAAGACACTTAAGTCGGTGTGTTAATGAAGAATACATGAATAGTATCCGTGTAAGATTTTCAAAGGATAGTATTGAGAAATTGTATGACTTGGCTCACTTTGAACAATGTCAGAAATAGAATAAAGAAATTATATTCCGGAAAGGTAGGCCTAAGTGCTGGCTCCTAATTCTACTGTTTCCCGAACCAGCTGTGTGACTGGGGTAAATTACTTAGTCTCTCTGTAACTTGGTATCCTCTTTAAAATGAAGGAGGTGGGTCTTGACTCAATTTAGATCCTATGCTCTGATTTCCTGTGGTGAGGCCTGCCAGTCTCCATCTGTGTGGAAGAAAATAGTCTATTAGGGCTGGAAGGATTGAATATGAAAATGGAAGAAGGAAACAGAGAGAGTGAACAGCAGGGCTTAAATCACAGAAGGCCTTCTCTGCTAAACCGAGGCGTTTGACCATGATCCTAAAACTAGGGGGTTCAATTAAAGGAATGTTTGCAGCCTGCTAAGTTGCCAGGTAGAGGCGTTATATATATTCATTCCCTGTAAGGTGTGTGAGATGGTGTAACTGGAAGCGGAGAGATTAGATTAGAGGCCTGGAGAATTGATGAGAATCTTAGTGAAGGCAAAGTAATGGAGGCAAAAGAAACAGGGTCTTGTTAAATTAATTAATTGTGGTGGAGATAAGAATGTTGAATAACTTTAACTTTCCATCTTTGCTGTAAGGGTGGGATGGTGGTCCCAGTGTCTGAGAATAAAGGGTTCTGAGAAGGAAGGACAGAGATTCTCTTGGTGGTTCCTTCATGATGGGCTAGAAGAAGTATGTCCATTATGGACCCTCGTGGGACTGAGAAAAAAGTGAAGAACATTGTTCCTTATTTCACTCGTCTCGTTACTGAGTCTGAGTCCCACTGAAAGCCCACTGGGAGAGTGCTTTCAGTAAATAATATTAAATGATATTCAGTGTATCACTTCTCACTTTTCATGTATTTTTGTTATATGCTCTTGTTTTAGTGTAAAACTATGCATAGTTTTTCACAGTGTGCCCCTCCCCCCTTTGGAATCCAGCCCCAAATTTCAGACTTCTCCTTTATTTTTTTCTCCTTTTTCTCTCTTATACAGAAGTATTATTGAAAGCAAATTGGGTAGCACAAGGGAATTAATAAAAAGAGCAACGATCAAGTTAGGCAATCAGATTAGCACAAATTCTACCCAAGTGCTAATGTGTTCTACCTGTGTAATTCCATAGAATGGTAACCAAAGTTCATCATATTGTCCCTCAAGCACAGCAAAGTCCTAATGAATTCCGTCTGTCTTCCACAGTGGATGCCAGGCTTTCCAGGAACTGATTTCCCTTTGGGGTTCTCAAACTCCTCAAGAATCAATTGCATTGAAATTTGTGTTTTAAGTGTATGACCTCCAGTATCTCCCTGTCACATTTCAAATTCTGAATCTTTACAAGGGAGGTAGAACACTAATTAAACCAGATATTTTCTTAGCCAGGACAGGGCACTCCTGGTCCATGTGTTATGAGCAACAGTGAAGTTTCCACAACAGGAGGAAACACACACCTATTGTAACTAGGGGAGTATGTTGGCATGCTGTGTCAGGC